CCTGAATCATCTTACAGATTGTTAAATGTTAATCATGTGATCTGAGAGATGGGGTTATCTGGGTGATTTTAATTATCTTCTTTGTGCTTTTCTGTATTTAGCAAATTTTCTCTAGGGAGTATGCATTTTGTCTATAATGGGGGGAGAGGAATCCAACCAACTCACTGTTTTGAAAACATGTCTTTTATTCCCTAAGTGAACTTCAGCTTTAAGTGTAAAAAATATACTGATAGGTGAGGTGGGTGATAGGCCTCCTCTTCTTCCACTCAACACAAATCAGAAGGTGGTGAAGAGAAAATAGACCTGAACATAAATATGACCAGTAGACATTCGACCCATCAAACACAGCCTCAGATACTAGGATTCTTGCTTCAGCCATATGTTCAGCCTCTTTAACTTCAACCAAGACACATTCATCTGTTGTAGATGAAAAAGGGGCCACATACTAAACCTGACAATCTCAAGGAAGGGCCAGCATGGTGGGCCCTACAAACTCAGAGACTGAAAGTAACCACCTAAGATAGTCTGAACATAAAAATTCCTAACTAAAAGCAGGTCAAGGCAGGTATTCACATCCTGGGCCTGTAGCTTTCTTGACAAAGGTCAATCTTTACCTTAAGTGAGCCCATCTATTGTCTTTCGTATCTAAAATAACATACCTTTGGAATGTCAGAGTAATCCCTTCTTCCCAGACCCCTCAGGGCACAACTCAATACACCAGAGCAGACCACAGAACCCCTCATGGTTATCATGTCCCCTGCATACCATCTCTATGTGCTGTAAATGTTATTTACTCTCCTGTACCCACCAATGTAAAAGAAGAGTGTGTCTCTCTATTTTACTTTTTATCCAATCCTAGAGATTCCTCCCCTTACCTTGCTTTCTCTCATCTCCCTAACCTACCACTAATGGATTTCATGTAACCCTCCTTAGGTCTCCTCCTTTGATTCTAATATATAAAATAAGCTGCAAAACTGCCGTTCTCAATCCATTGAGATTTTACTTCCCAGCGACTGTTGTCAGTTTGGCTCGAATAAACTCATTAAAATTCTCTACAGGCTTGGACATTTCTTATGTCAACACCATCATATCCTGATATCTTAAAAAAGCTTTCAAAGGGAAAACCGAGAACTCAAAAAAGTCCTCTGGCACTCTTCACGAGCCCTAAATTCCATAGCTAGACTGCTTCACTGTCGGAGAGGAAAAAAATAATTCCTTTATTATTTTTTTAAAAATAATTTCCTCTGGCTGGACTAATAACCAAATTAACATGAGACCGATTAACAGGATAAAATAACCAAATTTTTATGCATGTACATACTGGGATGCCGTAGGAACATGGGACTGGAGGATAGATTGGGAAGTTAAGGTTTATATGCCATCTTGAACCAAGGAAAAGGGGGATGCGTGTTGGGACTTTAAAGGGCAGGAAGGCAATTCTCATGGAGATGGAAAAACAAATGTTTGGTAAAAGTTTGCTAGGCCATCTTTAACAATGGGACACAGGCAGGACTTTGATCAAAAGGTCCTTGCTAGGTTTCTTCCTGTCTATCAATCACACTTAGTTCATATGAAACTATAGTTATCTATAATAATATCTCCCATTCTGGAACAGATCCTCTGTCTAAATTCTTTCAGTCAGAGGTGGGTAATTTCAAAAGTTTTTTCTGAATCTTTTGTTACTTAAAAATAATCAGTTTAAAATAATACTCATAAAAGGCATATTTTGGGGTGGCAAACTCTGCTTCTCATCACCAAGCACATTCTAGTTTGTAAGGGGTGGCAAATCACTTATCATTTTACACTGCCTTACTGGGAGGGCCTTGTGTCTGGGAGCCTTCTTTTCTTCTTTCAGAAGAAAGATATCCTCTCTTCTCATGTGGGAAAATGGAGTTCGTGAAACTAGAGAAATTGATTCACGTAGAAATAACCGTAAAAGTTCCAGAAGGCTAGACAAACAACAGGACTAGTAATTTTAGTCTTCCAGTGATTATAGTTATTGCACTTAGGAAGAAACTCCTCCCTTCCTGCCCTCAATCACTCCTCCCCTCTGCTGCTCCATAACTGCCCTCACTATTTTTGCAAGGCCAAAGACTCTCTTAAAATGGAATTTCCTTTCTTTTAGGAACTAAGAGTAAACATTTACTCTAAAGTCCACAACATGACCTGTTTTCCTGAATGACTCTTAGTCTTTAACAATAATCTCAGCCCTTGGGGTTAGAGGTGGGTGCTGGGAATTTATTTAGACTGTTGAGTATAGGAGGTACTATGACTGCCTACGTAATTAGGAGTAGACTAACGGTCCTCTATCTCAAGGCCCTCTCTCTGGTCTTTCACTCTCACCAACGAAAGTTTTAGAATTGCAAGAGATCCTTTACAGAGTCTATAACACACTTTTTCATTATGCAGATGAAGAAGCTGAGGCTCATAGACCCTTATTGCAACGATTAACAGCCAGTAGATACAGCACTCAGTAACTATTTGCTTTATTGTTTCTGGCCTAAGTTCAAAATGACCACTCCATATTAGAATACAAGTTTCCCAATTTAAAGACTGTTTGCTTTCCACGCTATCACACTGAGTTATGCACTCCATTTGGTTTAATATAAAGTCATTATAGCCATAAATTTAATTCTTAACAGCTTTATTGAGATATAATTCACATACCATACAATTCGCCTATTTAAAGTGTATAATTCAATGGCTTTTAGTATATTCAGAGTTGTGTATCCATTGCCACAATCAATTTTAGAATATTCTCATTACCCCTAAAAGAAACCCTATACCCATTAGCGGTCATTCTTATTTTCCCTCATTCTCCCCTGCTAGCCTTAGGCAACCACTAATCTTTCATATGTGGTCCTTTGTGGCTTCTTTTACAAAGTATAATATTTTCAAGGTTCATTCACGTTGTAGCATGTACTTCATTTTTTAATTGCTGAATAATAAATATTCCATTATATGCATATGCCATATTTCATTTATCTATTCAATAGTTGATGAATAACCAGCTGAATTTTATTTTAAACAAATGTGATCTCTGATAGCTAGTAGAAGCTTAAAATCTAGACATAAATATATATCTCATATATTTCTGTTGAATTTATACTTAAAGAAGCATACTTATCATGAAGACTTTATTATAATATCATACCTAAAATCAACAATTTTTTTCTCTAAGTTTTCCGATGTATATGATTACCTTGTGGAAAGACAAAATAAAGCCCTGCCCTAAGTTTTCCTGTTCCTGCGACTCACAGGAAAATAGAGGCATATATAGAGATTGCCTAAGTGACAGCCCTTAAGAAGAGATAAAGGAGAAAAGATCCAGAGCAAGACTCTTTTTGTCTGGTTTCAAATGTGGTTTAGAAGCGAAAGGGCATTTGGAGTTTCACACCCAACCAGGCGTTCAGCATTCCTAAGACCTAAGACCATGTATATATATGTATATATGTATATATACACAAACAGTATAAGGGTTGGATGTGGGGTGAGTGAGAAAAGGGTGCAGGACAGGCCGCAAATTCAGGCCCGTCTGACCTCATGAGGCTTAGTATTTTCATTTTTGTCTTTCTGAATTTATAGGTTGGCCCTCACTCAACTTCCTTACTGTTTTTGCGGGTCTCCAGGTGGGTCCATATTTGGAGACTTTGAGGGACTAGTTCGTGCTTGGTAGAACTTGAAATTGTAAACACAAAGTTGAGGATATTTGTGATCCTGGGAGGTGGGCGATTCCTCCACAGTAAACCGTTGATTATCCAAGTCCTGCCTTCCCGATCCCCTTTCTCCCCTCCCCCCTTCTTATACGAGTCAAGCCGCAGTACTCCTGAGTCACCTGCGGCGGGGAGAAGGGGCTTTTGGGAGCGTCTTCCGCTCGATTTTTAGAAGCTAGATGAGAACACCGGGAAGCGATGCTTGACTCAGCCCGCCCCAGGCTTGGGCGTTGTGTCATTCCCCACACGTGATGCCTTCCCAGGCAGCGGAAACCTCACGTATCATGGGACTTTTCACCCTAGTGATTCCACCCCTCTCCCTCTCTATTCCCCAACCCCCCACTTCCCCGTTCCGCCCTCACTTCAGAGACTAGAAGAGGAAAGGAGGGTGGATGGAACCAGGAAATGCCACTCTCCTAAGTTGGCCGGGAGAAGCAGAGAAACTCAGTGTTTGGGAAAGTACCAGGACGTAGCGTTACAATTTTACCCTTCTCCAGAATGCTTTGCACTTCCTCCGTTTATGTATCCTACTTTCATTATCCTAGATGTATCCTATCCGAGGCCCCCTTATCACTTAGACAGACCTTGTCCTAGTTGTTTTCTCTGTTTCCTACTTTTCTCTGAGCCTGGAATTCTTAATCAGTACTGGTTTGAGTCTCCAATCAGCCTCCTTCCCTGTTTTAGCTCCGTGACCTTGAGTGAACCAAAACTTTTCTGGGCCTACTTTCCTAGTCTGTGAAACGGAGGCCAAGCGTTTGTCTACCTCACTGCACCCGTTGTGAGGAACAAATGAGAAAGCCCTTTGTGAGCTGTAAAAAAGCAATAGAAATGTTAGCTATGTTAATTCTGGACGGCTAGTGAGGCTTCCAAAACCCCTCCCTTTCCTTTGGGACCCGCCCTGCAAACCCTGTCTGGAGCTGACAGTCTTCAACACCCTTCTCTCGCAGTCTTTCTTATTGGCGAACGCGCCGTTCGCGCGGCGCCAAGTGTTGACGCCCGGCCCCGCCTCCGCCGGCGCAGGATGACGCGCTGGCCCCGCCCCTGG